CGAGCGCCGCCCCGCGCTCCCTCCGCGCTGCGGTCGGTCTGGACGAGCCAGCGGGAAGGGGCCGCGGGGTTGGACACTGGAGTGCCCGGCCTGGAGCCTGTCAGCACAGCTGCCTCACCCCCGTGGACGGCATCTTCTTCATCCAAAAAAACCCTGGGTTTCTTGTTTGAAATTGCGGTTTTGGGCTTGAACAAGGCAGTTTTTAGCAAGCGCCGCTTTTAATTTGGAGTTGCTGAAGAGGCTTGAATTTGAAATGGCCGAAGGAGTCAGGGCGTCGGCGGCGCAGAGCCCCTCGGCGGGCAGGGGGGCTGGGGCCGAGGACGGAACGGCCGATGGAAACGGCCTAGGAGCAAATGGATACAGCCAGAAATCGTCCTGGAAAAATAGTTGTGGCCAAGCGGCTTATGCTCTGAAGCAAGGCAGCGGGGAACCGGGGAAGGGACGCTGCCTTTCTGTTGCAACCCCATTACTCCAACAGACTCGAGCAGATCTCTTTGGAGTCATGGCCCAGGTCCTAGGTGGAGCCCTAGAAGTTAGCCCCAGAACTTGGCTTTGCGTGATTGCGTCTGCCTCCCTGCTTTTCTTTCAGATGATTTTAAGGAGGTCAAAACACCACGAGACTCGCCATGAAGTGACAGAAATAAACACCGTCTTCGTCCTCTGCCCGTGTGTTTCTCCCGCAGCTACCCGCGTGCCTGGCGAGCACCGATCCCGGGTTTCGGACAGCACAAAGCTCCCAGCTGCTTTTTAGCAAAGTTTGTGCCAGACCGGCGCTGCAGCAGCTCCGCTGGCACGGGATGCGTTGGGACACAGACCGACCCGAGCGCTGCTCTGGACCGTACCTCACACAGGTCAGGATTTTACCCTGGAAGGACTTACGCTCTGGACGCTTTTTAACCCAACGTCCCACCTCAGTGAAAATATTCAGATGCTAAAGTATCCCGGTAAGCACCGGAATTCATGTGAAGGCTGATACTGCAAGGGAGCAAGCTTTTTAAAGAGGCTTGGTAGTAAGACACTATCCTTCCCGGCCACTAAAACATTATTCCCCGCACTAATAAGAAATGGTTCCCGCCAAGCAGTCGTCGTCTTCTGGATTTTCCTCCTCCTCCCATCACACACGTGCTTT